AGGTGGAGGTGGAGGAGCTTTGGCCTTGGATTTAGATTTTACCTTCTCACCCTTTGCCATAAGACAAATGTGAGGGGAGTAGTAGTCATCATCGGACATATTGGTGAAGAGTCTTGGTGAAGAAGATGGCTTATGAATAGTAATGGTTGCAATTTTCTCATCTTCTTCACTTGAGCTTTCAATAGATGAATCCCATTCATGCCCAATGTGAGCTTCTCCTATGTTTTTCTTTCTCTTTCTACGGTCGGCCTTATCCTCTTTCTTGTCCTTCTTGTATTTATTGTCCTTGATCTCATATGGACACTTGGCAATGAAGTGATCGGTGCTTCCACAATTGTAGCATGTCCTCTTTTTCTTGTTTGGGAAGCTTCTCTTCACTATCTTGTAGCCTTGCTTCTTTAGCCCCTTGTGATACCTCTTCATAAAGAGAGCAACATTATCAATTTTCTTATATTGATCATCATCATTTTCACTTTCACTTAAAGATGATGTGGTCTCTACTCTTTCTTGAACTTGCTTGCTTGCTAGTTGAAGCTTGTTGGTGGATCTTGGACTTGCTTGTAGAGCCTTGCTTGCTTGATTTGTTGGCCTTGAGAGCTACATCTTTGATCTTGATGCCCTCTAACTTTGCTTGCAATTCTCCAAGTTTCTTCCTCTCATTTGCTTCTTCTCTTTGCATGTCAAAGGTCAAGATCCTCCCAAGTACATCATTTGGTGTGAAATACTCAAACTTCTTCTTGTCTCTAATTAGAGTGACTACGGTCTTATTTCTAGGAGAATAAGCTTTCAACATAATCTTGACAACTTTATGATCATCTAGCTCATCACAACCATAGCCTCTAATCTTGCCCACCATTGTCATCAACCTATCAAACATCTCTTGTGTCCCTTCTCCATCCAAGATAACAAATCGGTTGAGCTTGGACATCAACAAATCAATTCTTGCCTTTCTCACTTTGTCGATCCCTTCATGTGTAAGATGCAAAGTATCCTAAATTTAATTGGCAACATCCACACTAATCACTCTATTGTACTCATCATCATCCAAGGCACTAAGTAGCACACTAGTAGTTTGACCATTCAGGTGGATGATTCTTATTTCTTCCATGGTTGGATTCTTAGGATCAAACAGTGGCTCAAATCCATTGCAAACAACCTCCCAAATACCGGGATGAAGACCTATAAGATAGGCTCTCATCAAGTGCTTCCACTTGGCAAAGTTAGTCCCATCGAAATGAGGTAACTTGCTCGTGGGCACATTGATGAAAAACTTACGATCATGGTTAGTCATAGACATAGAAGAATAGTTAAATGATGCGACGACATATTTGTTGTCGTCATTCTTCTTGCCTTTTCCTTTCTTGTCCTTCTTACTATGCACTTGGTAGGACTCATCATCATCACCATCTTCGGAGCTGCTAGATAGCTCACTTGAAGATGCATTGGAGGCTTTTGCTTCTTGTTCCTTCTTCTTTCTCGCTTCTCTTCTTTTTCTTCTAGTTTCTCTCTTGAGTCTTCTTTCTTCTTTTCTTGCTTTCTTCTCTTCTAACTGCTGCTCCTCCTCCTTCTTCTCTCTTGCTTCTCTTTTCTCTTTTCTAGCTGTCCTTCTTTTTCTTTTGTCTTTATTTTGAGCTTTTTCAACATCGGTTGCCTCTAGCTGCAGGAGTGTGGAGTTGCTTGCTGTAGAGGCGCTAAGCTCACTGCTATCAGTGTCATGTAGCCCAACGTCCTCCGGATCGACGTTGATGGGCTTCACAACACCGGATCCTCCTCTAGGCTCCATATCTCACGCAGTGAAGCGCACACAAGGTAACCTGCTCTGATACCACTTGTAGGATCTCTGGTACACCTAGAGGGGGGTGAATAGGTCTATAAAAAATTCAACTCAAACCGAAGTCAAATTCACCCTCGACACTACAGCTTCTGTGAGCATGGCACTACCGCACCTACAGGAGAGATTAGTTCACAGTTCAAAATCTACCCAACGAAATTTAGATCGGGTAAATTTCTTAACTTTCTGCAGGGTGGTAGATCACAAATCGACAGCTGAAAATGGTTGGAACACCACATACAAGTAGATCGGTCTCAAACTCTAGAAATCACCTCAACAACAACATGTCATGCAAGTAATGTAAATTAAGCACAAGTGACACAATAATTTATCCCGTGGTTTGGCTCATCACCAAGGCTTGCCTACCTCCACGTTGTTGAGGTGAGCCACTAAGGCTTAGAGCTTTCTAGCCCTTACTCGTTCTCAAGTCAAGAGACTTAACTCTTGAGATGAGGGGTGAGTTTACTAGCTTCAAGAGATGGTTACAAACCTCCCGGGGCTGCCACATAAGTTGGCATGCTCCACGGGCGACGCTCTAGCCGGCTAGGAGCCAAACTCCAAGAGTAACAAACACAACCACTGGCCAAAACATGAACCAAGTGCTCTTTAGAATTTGGGAATCGATGGAGTTGCTCTCTAATCAAGTTTTGAACCATTTTCTCTCAAGGATTGATGGAGAAATCAATGGATTTGCTTGAGGGCTTTAGGTCAACAATGGAGTGAGAGAGAGAGAGCTCATGCTCTGCTTTGGACGTGCTCAAGTGAGGAAGAAGAGGTAGGTTAGTTCATCCCCGTTGGGAAGGAAGGGGAAATGTATATATATCCCCAGCCCTCAACGGTCACTTTAAATCGTAGATAGCCATTGGCGAGAAAAGGGAAAATTATATATACCCCAGCCCTCAATGGATACTGCACCCAAGGGGTTGGGCGAGATGAAGCCCGTGACCTCGAGGTCGGGCGAGCCAGATCCCACGACCCTGGGGTCAGGCGAGGTGGATCCCGCACCAAGGGGTCGGGCGAGGTGGATCCTGCGACCAAGGGGTCGGACGAGCCGGATCCCGCACCCAAGGGGTTGGGCGAGATGGAGCTTGCACCAAGACAACAAGGGTAATAGTAAAGTGCAGACTGTGTTGGCTATGAATCTGAGGATGCTTGTGGTTGTTTGAAGCACTTGGTAGCACATATTAGCTTAAGCATTGTGTCTCTCTTTATAGTACGTCTTTTTTTATATTCAAATTCATGATATAAAAGAATATTAAACCTCTTTTGAGTTTGAAGCCATCTATATTTATAATTGGGGGCTCCTCCATTTGGTGTAGCATCCTCAAATATAAATTTCCTACTTGTCATCTCGATAAATCTCATTAGTTCTCTAATTGCGTGGTCATTATCATCAAAACTCATAATTAGGGCTTGATTGCACTTTCAGGGTGCTATGAAACCAATTTTCCCTATGTAGATTGATGTTTGCCTTACTAAATATTATTAACGTGTGTTTGGTTTGCGGGTTCAAGTGGGATATCCTGGGTCCGTCTCAAATGATCTGCTGTTTGGTTGAGGAATCATGTGGGTTTGGGTCCAACCCAGGAGGGAATATAGCCTCAGATGCGGGTTGGAATGGTTCCTTCGATTCGAGGGGATGAGCTCGACCCATGTTCGCGACGTTTTGCTCCATCTCGTAGGGGTGGCTCAGGGAGGTGGCGTCCAGCACAGGCGAGCTCGGGGAGGTGGTGGTGCCCGGCGTGGCTGAGCTCGGGGAGGTGGCCTCCGGCTCTGGCGACCTTGGGGAGGGGGTAGCGTCCGGCGCGGGCGACATCGGGGAGGGGGTGGCGGGCGCGGACGAGCTCGTGGATGGGGCGGCATCCGGCCATGGTCGTCGGGGCCTGCGCGGGAGGTGGTGCCGCCGAGGCCGTAGGGGCCTACGCGGGGCGGGGCGGCGGTGGCCGCCGAGGCAGGGCAGGGAGGTGGCGCTCGCCATGGCTTGTGTGGGGGAGGTGGTGCCGCCATGGCCACCGGGCTCAGGCTAGGGTACGGCACGACATGGACAAGCAGAGGAAGAAGATAAGAGGAGAAAATAAAGAAAATAAAGAGATGACGTGTGGGCCCCACTACTAGTGCTGTTAACGGTGTCAAAATGGCATCCATTTCATCTATCTCCATCCTTGCAACCAAACAGAAAACTGGGTTTGACCCAACCTCTAAACCAAACACGAGATGGGCATCTCATCTAAAAAACTGGGTTGGACCCGATCCAACTCACTTGGTCCCCAAACCAAACACACAGTCAGAGGAAATGCCACTAAAACGAGACAACAAGAAAGAAATATTATCCAAAAGGGACACAAGTGCCGAAGTATTTATCAGGTAAAAGCAATGGCATATATGGATTGAACTTCTACGGCTCCACGATGCCGATTAGCACTGACCCAGCCGCGGGGCAACACCGTGCGTTGCTTTCTTGTTTAATATTAGTTTAGAGTTGTTGCTTGTTGTTTTCTAGTTTAATATTAATTTAGATCTAAGAATTCAAGACATAGTGCGAGAGGCAAAATCATCAAGTTAGACGCTATTATAGAGATTTTTATTTTTAATATTTTTTAAATCTTATTTTAAAAATACATCGCCTATTTTTTATAGTTATTTTTAACCCTTTTGACCATCGTAACGCGCCTAGTGTACGTTGTCACGCTATATGCGTTTGCGCGGTAAGATTTGCCATTATATACGGGGATTTCCAATGCAACCTTTTTCACGTGAAAATCGCCATTCGATATGATGGATTTTACCGCATTAACGCATGTGGTGTGGTAGGGTAGTTTTGTTGTACCTGACATGCAGGCACGGTCAAAAGAGTTACAAATAAAAATAAAAATAGGTGGGTTATTTAAAAAATTACTAAAAAGATTTAAAATAGAATTGCCACTCGCGCTCGCTCAGTCACCCTCGACTCTTCGAGTACTCGAGTAACTCGACGCTTCCACCGACCACCGTTCACCGCCGCCGTCCTGCTCCACACTACACACTCCTCAGCTCCAGTGCTCGTGCCACCGACCGCCGGATCCCACCCACCAGCCTTCCCATACCAGCGAGCGGCAGCTGCAGCCCTCCTCGGTCTCTCGACCCCACGCGATTAAGCGATTCCAAGGCGGAGCGTGGCGGAGAGGCGGCAATGGAGTACAGGAGGGTGAAGGATCAGGTAAATCCCATGTCTAGACTAGCGATTGCAGAAGCCTCTAAAGTCTAAACCCTAGAGGAGTTTATCAGATTCAATGTGCCCCTCCGATTAGGTCGCGTCGGCTGCCTCTTCGATCTAGGAAGAATCTCTTCTTTTTCGTTTTCCCCCCCAAAGTTTTTGCGGCATTGTCTTTACCTAGGGACTAGGGTTCGTACAATCTATTGGGAATTGTTTAGCTGGGCGGTGCATCTGTACTGTACCTTTCGTTGTTTGTAGGTATTAGATGAATAGGGTTGCTAATCTTGTGGCCATAGTGAGTGCCAGGTTGAATGTGTGTGAGATTGACATATGCTTGCAACTTTTGTTTTGGGAGATTGGCCGTGTTCCGTGTCCGTGTCCTGGCTAGTTGGTTTTGGCAAGGAGATCGAAGTTTATGTCTGTATTGTTTACTCGGATTGGCCATGCCATTGGCAATGGCAGCACTCATTTTGGTTTAACGCAATGAACCCAGATTGTGGTATATATTTATTGGTTGAGTTGGAAGACGATTTGAACTGCAGAGGCTTGTGCATGCACTGTTGAATAGCGTGCTAGAATGCTGTTCTGGTCTAGCTTGAAGCTAAGTTTGCCCTAGTTCTTTCACGTGCAACCAAGTTCAGTTTTGCGTTTTTGGCACAGCTGCTGTAGGGATTAAAGAACAATTTCACTACCTGATAATTGGCTGTTGCTTGCACAATTGGAACTGTCCAAACTCCAAACTCCAAAACTAAAGACATTGTGATTCAGTTCAGTTGTTCGACTGATTCATGTTGTTGATGACTCAGCGAACTTGGAATTCTAACCTTTTTCTATTTGTGCTTCGAACATATACAGTTTAAATATAGCACATCCTCTCTTTTTTCCCATTTTGCTCTGGAACTCTGTTCTTTGGTGTACACTTGTTATGAGAACTGTATCTGAACTGCTTCAAACGTAAGCTGAAGACTGAACTGATGGTTCACAAAATGGTATATGTGTTACTTAACTCTTGCAGGGTGAACTACACTGGACCAGCTTGTGCCATTCTTGGTATGTAGGGGTTTAATTAGACTAGCTTTGATCCAGTCCCTATCTCCCAGAAGTGTCCACATGAAAAGAAAAGCTTGTAGTATCGAGCCTGCATGTTGCTTTTGTTTGTTTATTCACTATGCCAGCCCCGTATTTCATCTCTAGAGCAGTCTCTAACGTATCTTCTGTCCCTGAAGGAGATTTATGATGATTTATCTCAGAAGGATGTGGAAAGCCTGAGTGGGAGGACAGTATCTAGCGCCAACAGTAAGATATTTATACTTTGTCGAAATGTTCCCTTCTTATTTTAACACTGTGGAACTCATTATGGATTCTGTCATCTACAGCTAGCGGTCTCAGCTCTGCAGGAGGCGCAAAAGGCAAGTCTAGTTGGAAACTAAAGTTAGTGTCAGTTTCCTCTTAACTCTTAACCTTATTTTTCGACCACATACTTTCTTGAATATTATCATATCTCTTATCCTTATATTTGTGACAGGTCTGTTGTTACTCTTGCATTGACATTACTAACAAGTTCTCAGGCAATATTAATTGTGTGGTCAAAAAGAGCTGGAAAGTATGAATATAGTGTCACAACAGCTAATTTTTCGGTGAGAAAACACGTCTCAAGATGTTTATTACATATATCTTTGATTGCCCATCAATTTGCAAGAACTAGTGTGTAGACTGTATTGTCAGATTATCCCTTTTGTTCTTTCAATAAATCTTATTTTAGTAATATTTGTTTGTATATGTCTAGGTGGAGGCTTTAAAATGCCTTCTATCGCTAGCTGCTCTTGTTAGGACGTGGAACCGCCATGGTGTCACTGATGATAATAGGTGAGGACTGCATTTTGGCAACTGTGCTACTCAGACTTTCCTACATTTCTAACATGAGTGTATAATTATACTTTTACATTAAGCTAAAGTCAATTATTATAAGTTTAACCAATTCAAGTCATTAACATGGCAACTATGTTTCAAAGAAATTTGTAACATGTTATGAATTTTGCTGTGAATATGGGAAACTGAGACTTGCGATTGCAATCTACAAACTGTTGCTTCTGTTAACTCTGTTCAGCAGCCATTTGATTTTGCTGTTTTCAGGTTAACCACATCTTTTGATGAAGTTGGTGTATATCCAATTCCTGCTGTTCTTTACATGGTAAAGAACTTATTGCAGGTGCGAGTAGTACTTCTGTGATATGGGCAATTTAATTTCATGATGTTTAAGCATGCTGACATGCCCTTCCATTTGCTGTTATCTGCCAGTACTATATCTTTGCTTATGTGGACGCACCAGCTTATCAGATCTTGAAGAACCTAAATATCATCAGCACAGGTGTTTTGTACCGCATCATTTTGAAGAAAAAGTTAGTATCTTCTGAGCAATTGGAAATTATCTTTACAGATTTGCTTTACTCTAGAAGTGGAACTCTAAGGATCATGGTCGCAGTTTATTTTGTTGATTCTATTATGGTTTGATTTGGATAGAAGCAGAATCAGAATTTCAAATCTTTTAGGCCTATGAGTCTATGACAGATACCAGACCTGACAGAAAAGAACTATAGCTCTGTGCGATTGGCCTTCTAGCTGACCGCAAGTTTTGTTCACCTCCTTACTAGAACGTCTTACAATCTTTATTTCATCAGTACCTGTTCACTGTTCTGCAGTCTTTCACTCTGTGTGTATGTATATTCAGTTTCTTCCCTGTCCCTTTTAGGTTAAGTGAAATTCAGTGGGCAGCATTTGTTCTTCTATGTGCTGGTTGCACAACAGCTCAACTTAATCCTTCGTAAGCACTAAATATATTCCACTTCAATTTTCTCTCTCATTATCTAGTCATCATTGGTCATTTAGTTAAACATGAATTTTGATTAGTTGAAATGTTATCTGCCCCTATTTAGTTCTGACCATGTGCTTCAAACTCCTATTCAAGGTTGGATGATGGCAATTGTGAGTTGTAATATAAGATGTATACAGTTTCATTAAGATTACTATTGGAAGCGTCTTCACTCACGTTGTTGAATTGGTCATTCTCATGCAGGTGATGGCTCTTTTGAGTGGTTTTGCTGGGGTATATACAGAAGTACGTCTTGTTACTCTTTGTTTATGTTCTCTTATATATCTGACTTTAAGTGAATTCATTGGGGGTGTAAAACATTAGGAATGTTTTTATTTATCTTTGAACACTGCAGGCTATCATTAAAAAACGTCCATCAAGAAACATCAACGTGCAGAACTTTTGGCTATACATTTTTGGGGTGATCTTCAATCTAGTTGCAATTTGTGTTCAGGATTATGATGCAGTCATGAATAAGTTAGTGCACATTGAAACTACTAAACTGTTATGTTGTCTTCGGTATAATTTATGGATTTAACACTGACTTATGATATCTGACACAGAGGCTTTTTCCATGGTTATTCATTCATCGCAGTTTTGATGATTCTGAACCATGCACTGAGGTACCAAACACTAACAGTTTAGCTTGATTCACTTGGTGACTTAACCAAGCCGCTTACAATGGTTTCGTTTACTGTGCAGTGGAATTGCTGTTTCAATGGTGATGAAATATGCTGATAACATAGTCAAGGCATGTGGCACTAGCATTTAAATTTATGTATGAGCATGATAGATGTCGCTACTGTTGATTCAGTTATTTATGTGCTGCCCACTAGAGCCTGACTACTGTTTATATGTGGCATTGTAGCCAATAAATGGCTACTGCAGCAACTCGTGAGTATGGCGACTACATTAGTTAGGATTAGGTGGATATTTTGTTTTGTTTAATTGTTGTCATTAAGGTGCTTTCTTTTGAATATTTCATATGAGTTAGCCCTAGTCCCGAGGTCACTGTCATCATTTCAATTAAGCAAATAGAAATATGAAAGAAATCTCTAGTCTAAGTATCCACCAACCTGCTAACTCCCTGGATTTAGTCGCTGCCATAAGGGTCACAAATTGAGGCTTAGATTTGAATTACATTGTTTCAGAGTAGTAGCTAGGAACAGTAAACTTCTTTTATTATATGCACAATAATTCTTAATGACACTGAAGTTGATATTGGATACACTGTTGATGCATGTATTTTACTGTTCTATTGTTTCAGACATGCATATTTTTGTTTAATCTTTCTAGGAGCAAGACAACTACTCTGAGTTTACCAAGTACCTAGGTCATTAGCTTAAATAGTAATAATTTAGAGCATTTGCATTGCAAAAAGGGGGATTTTATCTCTAGTCTACCCCAATTTGGTTGGGACTAGAAGGCTCTGTTGTTGTTGGCAGTGCTCCAGAACAAATATAGATACTCCCAAACAACATCAGCCATATAGGTGCTTTAACCCAGATGCATCTTTTATGTGGATGTTAACTGAATGGGCCCTTCCTATCGTGTCCCGTCCTGCCCCATCCCATGAAGCAAACACTACCTTAATTTTGGTCTTCTTAGTGTGCTTCGATGCAGTTAAATATTACTGACAATATGTATTTACAGGTTTATTCAACTTCAGTTGCAATGCTTCTGACAGCAGTTGTATCTGTCTTCTTGTTTAACTTCCATTTATCCCTCGCATTCTTCCTTGGATCCACGTAAGTGTTAATGATAATTTTATTGCAGCTTCTGCTGATCAGAGCTTTCAAACTCATGATAGAATAATGTAATCTGCTAAACTTTCAGGGTTGTGTCTGTCTCAGTGTACCTGCACTCAGTTGGAAAACTTCAACCACAGAAATAAGGTTTGTTTAGTCACTGGTTACTGACTGCTCCTCATCTGTCAGTAATCACTGGATAACACAAAGGATTGGTGAAGATGGAATCTGGGATTCATTATTGGTGTTTGGTGCTTTGAGGCTAGAAGAAAAGCTTCAGTGGAGATGAGATTTGATTGCATAGTTAACGTGTGGAAGTTAGTAGGCGGTAGAATGTAAGACCCAGAAATGTTTTTTTTGGAGGGGTTCTAGCTATTATCTGGTCACAGTTTTTCTTTTTATCAAGTCAAGTTCGTTGATCGCTAACCATATCAGTGCCTAGTTTCTGAGATATCAAGCGCACGTTTATTGTAATGCTAGTGTTTCGAAATACTAGGTAGCACACAGTTGTTGTATTGAACTGGTTGCCTTTTAATTCTAATGTATAGAATTACCATTCTTTTTACCACCGAGCATGTGGACCGTTGTTGAGTGTTATTTATACACGGTGCTGGAGCAGGAGATTTTATCGTGCAAAGTATTTTTAATCATGTTAGGTGTTTGTATTATGCTAGAATTAACTTCTGGGCATTTCACTCGGATGCATCCAAAATGTAGGCAATTGTATTTGTCTCATTATTACTTGCGTGTTTTGAATATGTATTTTTGAAATTTGAACTTCTTGGATATAGTATTCTAATTCTGTGTTTCATGGCCAAGCCCATGCTATATTGTGATGCTCAAATACATTTCGCTGTGGAGCCAAATTCAACCATTGATACTGTGCTGCTAAAATTTTGAAATTTATCTAGACTCAAATAAAGAATCCATTTTGAAATTTATCTAGACTCAAATAAAGAATCCATAATCACCACATGATTATCTCGCATAACAGACGTAGAACAGAAAACCACCTTTAGAAACATGCACCATGGATAGAAACGTCAAAGCAAGGGATGGATGGAAATCAGATCCACAGACCTAAGAAAACATCAAAACCATATCTCCACGCCAAGGTAACATCAAACGAACCTGTGTCACAGCATTGCCTTTTAGCTCGTGGAAAACGGATAGCTGGCCTGAAGTGCCTGGTTTAATTTAATTTGTTTTGATTGGACCAATTTCATGGTGGCTAGAATACTTTTGGCCACGCATGGAGAGAAAGAAAGTTATTACCAGCCATACACTATCACAGAAAGAAACTTATTTCCAGCATATTCAGTCTGTCCTAAAAAAAACATAGATGTCATCCGTTGGTTTCGCTTTCGTTTTTCAAATACCTATGTAATGCGCTCACTAAAAACACTATGTTTCAGGGTAGTGGACTAGTGGTACGCAATAAATTCTTCGTTGAATTTAACATTTAGGGCATACTGACATCATAGAGAGCCACTCTCTCTGCCCCTAAATATTTATCGTTTTCGTTTCTCGAGAAACAACTTTGACTAAACATATATTAAAAATTATTAATATTTATGGTACATAATTAGTATTATTTGAAAGATCTTGAATCTAGTTTTTAATAAATTTATTTAGAGATATAAATGTTGTATGTATTTTCTACAAATCGAGTTAAACTTGTGACATGCATATCAACGACGACAGTTATTTAGGGATGAAGAGAGTACAGATTTAAAGCACCAGTAATATTGGCAACTCCCTTTGTCCTTATAGCAGTAGACATGTCTAGTGGATGCATTCGCTACCTCCCCCGTGTTGGGCCTGGTCAGCTTCACTTTAAAGCTTAAGCTAACCCTACTGCACCACAGCAATGGTGGAGAGAAAGACATGAACCATACATGAACAAAATCATACTGGTCATAACCAAGATAAGAATAGCACTCGCAAAACATTTACAACAGTTGAAAAACACTGATTTATCAACATGAAGCACGCAGCATCTGTTTCCTTGCAGGTATGGGTGACCAGACACTAGGACAACACATTCCCATACACAACTGAATCTTTGATTTACAACGAAAACTATGTTTACTTTTACTTATATATGGAGTCGAGGCACGAATACATATCCTTCCTGTATGTTCCTATCTTTTGCCTTCCAACAAAATGTGATGGAACTGTTTAACTACAATACAGAGGGACAGTGACCGGCTTGTAGAGGAAAGTCTTGACAGTGTGTGAGTTCCCAGATGGTTTGTTGTAAGTGAACTTTACCCCAGAGTGAGCATCACCCCTCCGTGTGCAATGCAGATGGAAGCTGCTGATAGGCCTTGCCAAGCACGAGTCCCACCTGTCGCTCTCTGGCATGGTCTCGGCAACAGCATACATGCCCTTAGAGTTTGTGAAGGCTTGGTAGTTGATAACCTCACCGGATTTTGAGATGCAGAGGACAGCAACCTCGGCACCTATATGAGACAGAAACATCATAAAGATGAGTTTAGGAACAATCTTCAAGCAATTTGAACAGAACATATTGAACCCAAATCAAGAAAACAGTAGTATAAATACTGAAATATAGTAGCATACTGTGTCACACCATATGGAGTTTTTTTAAAAAAAATTCAAAAATACTGAAGGGCATAGGCCCACCTTTTACTGGAAACACAGTAATAGAGCATTGGAGATATTTGGACCCAACTTTCACAGAAACTATAAAGTATTTAGCATCTCCCAAATGTTATATTTCGAAATATGAAATCATCCTTGTCGCATGTTCTAGAGATATGATGTTGGACACATGTACTAAGACTAGCATTCTAGTGCTAACTTAACTGACAATAACAACAGAAGCAAACTTCAGTATAACACAGTCATAATAACAGCATTTATTATGCGGTGAATAAGAAAGTATAAGGGCGTGATTGGTTCCTGTTCCAACCAAGCCTGGCCCGAACTTTTCAACCAGGCCCGAGCTGGCCAGGACGGTCACATGCAAAGTCCATTTGATTGGTTACGCGTGCGCAAGCAGCCAGGCCGAGGACAGAAATTGATTGGTTCCTACATCTGCCTGCTGGTTCTGTATCGCTCCTCTCTAGCTCCATTCAACTCCTGCGCTCCTGCACACCACCGGCCAGGCTGACAAGAAACGAAGCTCCATCTCGTTTCCGACGGGCCAGGCTACGAGGGAATCTTTGCATCAGCAGGGACAGGCTCGAAGTGATGTCCAGGCAACCAAACGTTGTAAACCTGCATCAGTCTGGCCAGGGCGCGCCTCATGCAGGCTAACAATCACGCCCTAAGTTCTCCAACTGATCGACCCTTACCTTCTGAATTAATCAAATGGGTTGCATCAGTCCGCACCTTTTGCAGGCCTATTGTGGTCATCCTTTTTGTTCGAAGAAAATGACATATCATTTGAGGTTGATTATAACATGTAAATGGACATGTCTTTGATCAAGCATGTAGTTTATTGTGTTCAGACTTGGTTCAAGCAAAAATGTGAATAATTAGTTATGAAAATGGTGAAGAATCTGATGGCGTTAATCTTGCTCGATCCGAAGTTCCAAGAAAACCTTGGATGAAAGATATCTTGCTACAGCTAACGTGAACCCCAAAATGTTGAATCTTTATTTGTTGAGGTATGGTAAGAATTCTTTTGTTTGCCTGTAGCAACGCATGGGCATTTAGCTAGTATATACCAACATGAGACAGATCACGAAGATGACTCTGGATCGATCAGTTGGCTGGTAGAGTGGCTGGACAAGTGAGATGTGAGACAGAGAGTGAGAGTAAGGGTTAGGATGGTGGCTGCATGTTGAGTTGCAAATTGGGATGAAAAACATAAGCCCAAGTAGCCCAAACCATCCCAGATCAGGATTTCAAGGCAACTAGGCATCCAAGCGAGAGCTTGATGCACCTAGACGCCTAGGTGGCACCTGGGCGACAAGGCGCCACTGTTCCCCAAGGCGAGCTGGTACGCTGGACGTCTAGGTGACGCCTTTGAAATAGGGTCCCAGATCCAGCCCATGTTTTTAGCTGCCCAGCAATTCCAATTTCATTCTGTTTCTGGCCATCCACCCCGTAGTCATCCCATTAACCGTGATTAGTCGATGACTAATCGGACGACAAGAAAACTAATCGCCCTAATCGAGTAGTGGTCCCTAGTCGAGTTCAGAACATCAATTAGGACGACTAATCGCGACTAATCGGATAACTTCGGGACCTGAAGCAGCTAACCCGTCCCAGATCCGCTCGAGTGGTCGCGCGAAACCTTGCCGGGGAACCACAGGGCGGGCGCGGCGCAGAGGGCGGTCGATAAATCCGCACGAGGGGAGAGGAGGAGGCAGGTGTACGGGGCTGAGACTGACCTTCGAGGGCGTGGTCCTCCGGGCCGATGGCGGCGTCGCCGCAGACGTCGCAGACGACGCGGCCGCGGATCTCCCCCGTCCAAGCCTCAGCCGCCGCGAGCAGGATACCAAGGGCGATGCCGAGCTGCAGGAGGAGCGTCCACCGGAGAGGGTGTGCCGCGGCCATGGCTGGTAAAGGGCCCGGGATGGTTCGCGGTAGGTATATGAAACAAGCTCTGCAGTTGGGGTTCTGGCCTTCTGGGTTGCTTGGTTCTTTTGCCTTGCCTAGCTTTACCTTACCAGGCAAGAATATCTGTTTGGTAGGGACTGCTTGGTTGTTGGCAAAGGCTTGCCTCGCCTCACCTGGCTGAGCCGGCTCGCTCGTGCGGGCAAGCCAATTTGGCTCTCCTGTAGGAGCAAGCCGAATCTTGACAGCACGGTCCACGAAACGCTCAGACAAGATTACCAAACGCATGCCTTTTTCGCTATCCTCGTCCAGCTAGGCAGAATAGTGCGCAACAAGGGAACCAAGTAGCCCTTGTTTTAGGACCTTGCTTTGCTTAGCAAGCTAGCTTGTTTAGGCAAGCTTTTCCTTGCCGATCCAGGCAAGCCGATTCGGCTCTCCTACGTTGGCAAGGTGAGCGGGCGGTGTGTGCACTGGAAAAAAGCTGTTGCGTTCTATGATTGGAGACTGGTTGACGGGTGGGTCTTCTTGTACTACTTTGATACTTGCATGCTGTTGTATTATTTAGTTGTGAAACAAGCTAGGCAGCTATTTTAGCAAGCTCTTAAAACCACACGCATACTCTGTCCTTTGCCCATATTTACTGGGCAATTGTGCTGGTAAAAGAACCAAGCAGCCATTTGGTTGTTTTGCCTTGTATCGCCACAGGAGCCCATTTAGCTCTCCCACGGGAACAAATTACGATGCATTTGGTTTTCC